GAATGAGCCACCCAGGCACCCCTTTACTTTCACATTTTTTGATGGACATATTCATGTTTTCTAACTTATAGAGCCCCCAATGCTGTACTCAACCCACTAGTATATTGTCTGAGAGAGAATATTTAGGGGATATAGACTCAGGAGTAGAAAAACTGTGTCTGACACATCCCCAAAAGCAAGGGAATCAAGAGCAAAAATAAACTATTGGGACCTCATCAAGATTAAAAGCTTCTGCATGGCAAAGGAAACAACCCACAAAACTAATAGGCAACCAACGGAATGGGAAAAGATAGTTGCAAATGACATATCAGATAAAGGGTTAATATCCAAAATCTATAAGGAACTCACCAAACTCCACACCTGAAAAACAAACAACCCAGTGAAGAAATGGACAGAAGATATGAACAGACACTTCTCCAAAGAGGACATCCAGATGGCCAACAAACACATGAAACTATGCTCAGCATCCTTACTCATCAGGGAAATACAAATCAAAACCACACTGAGATACCACCTCACGCCAGTCAGAGAGGCTAAAATGAGCAAATCAGAGAACTCTAGATGCTGGCGAGGATGTGGCGAAACGAGCACCCTCCTACACTGTTGGTGGGAATGTACACTGGTGCAACCCCTCTGGAAAACAGTGTGGAGGTTCCTCAGGAAACTAACACTAGAACTCCCCTATGGCCCAGCAATAGCACTGCTAGGAATTTACCCAAGGGATACAGGAGTGCTGATGCATAGGAGCACATGTACCCCAATGTTCACAGCAGCACTCTCAACAATAGCCAAAACATGGAAAGAGCCTAAGTGTCCATCAACGGACGAATGGATCAAGAAGATGTGGTTTATCTATACCATGGAATACTACATGGCGATGAGAAAGAATGAAATCTGGCCATGTGTAGCAATATGGATGGACCTTGAGGGTGTTATGCTGAGCGAAATAAGTCAGGCAGAAAAAGGACAAATATCATATGTTTGCACATATAGGAGGATTAGGAGGAACTTAACGGAGGACCATGGGGGAGAAGAAGGAGGGAAATAGCGGGGAAGAGGGAGGGGGGCAAACCATGAGAGACTCTTGAATGATGAGAACAAACTGAGGGCAGATGGGGGTGGGGTAGGGGAAGGAAGAGATGGGCATGGAGGAGGGCACTTGTGGGGATGAGCCCTGGGTGTTATATGGAAACCAACTCGACAATAAACTATTTGTAAAAAAAAAAAAATCCCCCCCCCAAAAAAAGAAAAACTGTGTCTGAGGGTGCTGGTGTGCTCAGTTTTAAAAAATCCTGCCAAATTCCTCTCCAAATGAACACACAAGCTATTTTTCCATTAGCAGCACCCAAGAGTTTGTGTTTTTCTACATCCTCACCAACAAACGATTTTATCAAAATTCTGAAACTTTTGACAATCTGATGGATTAAAATAGTATTTCAGGGTTGTTTATATTTGCTTTTCTCTGATGCTAGTGAGGAATCAGTTTTCCTCTGTGAATCGCATAGAATTCAAGTCCATTTTCCATTTGTCAATTTGTCCATTTGTCCTTGTGTCCATTTCCTTCATGTCTATTTTCCCACTGGGTGTCCAGTCTCTTTGATTCTTTCAATTGTAGGAGCTCTGCTGACATGCTGAAAGTACTAGACTTGCCTGATTCTTTTCTAGTCACATGAGAAATGAGCTATGAACAATATACCTATGTCCAGAAAAACGGACCTGTAAGGTCAAATATTTGTTGCTGTAACGTCACCTGTCAATTTCAAAGCCGGGAGAAGAGAAAAGGTCACAAGAGGGGAGATGCTCTGAGCTGCAAACACTTGAGCTTTTATTTGCAAGTGAGAAAAACTGAACTCATTAGTTTAAGCATAAAGGAGAATTGTATTGACTCACAAAAATTCAGAGCAGTCAGACTTTGGGCGATGGCGGGATACAGAGGTTTAAAGAGATCATCTTTTCATCTCTTGGTTCTGTCTTCTGCATTGACTGACCTTGCTCCTGGACCAACTTCCTCTCTAGTAGCCAATGGCCCCAGGGCCCTTCAGGCTGGTAGATCTTTGGTACTTGCCATCTCCAAGGCAGAGGGAGTGTTTCGATACCATTACTGGGGGAGGGGGAGTTTGTATTCAAACAAGATTACGCAGAGACTAATCAGCATAAACAAAATCAAAATGTGACTTTAGTAAAATTCGTAACTCTAATAAGTTATAAATTCCTTTCTAGTCACATTAGTGACTGTGGTAAGTTATAAATTCTATATTCTATGAAGCCCAGTTCCTCTTTATGCTTTACAAATTAAATTACAAATCCTATCATCTATTTATAAACCTAGCAAATTTCAACAGTCACTTTTAAGAGTGCGTGTATAATCTAATAAAATTCCCTTCAACATTTAAACGGCATTTATAAATTTAATAGATTTAATTTTCTTTGAAGTCCTTCAAATGTCTGATTAACAAACAAAGCTCCCCAAGTTCTTAGATACTATTCTGATAAATCGCGTACATTAAAACTGTACATCTGGGGAATCATAAATTCTCCTAAATGTTCTGTGAATGTTTACAACATGAGTCAACTTCTCTTGTTCCTTTCATCCTAAAAATGCAAGTCTAAATCAATTACCCAAATGCCTTTTTACTTTGGGGTGACTAGATTCATCTGTTCCATACTCAGATTCTCTTATGAATTGCCAATGCTTCAGATATATAGTGTGTACAGATTGCTTTTCTTTCCATATTTGATGAGCTTGTATACAACCTGAAGTCTTGGTCAGGACATAAGATCTGGCGTAGCATGCTGAAAGGGTATGTTTCTCACCATCCAGAGGGACAACCGGAGCCCTCTGATGACCCTTAAACCCAGAGAGATTTCAAGTCCAGGTGTGCCAAGTGGGGCGGCCTTATAGCCCTCTTCAAATTATACATTATTTAATTCTGAAATCAGATGAGAGATCCAAACCCCTGCCCAGATGCTTTCAACAGTTGACTGGATTCGGTGAACTATTAACTTTGATTCTGTTCCGAATTCTTTTCATATCTTTCTCATTTAGCAGGACCAAAACTCTAACAATATTTTGTAAATACATTCCATTGGATTCTTCACGCCTCTAGCGTTTTGGTCAGGCCCTGCAGTCACAAATCTAAGGTCATACAAATGACATTCCACAGCAGAGAAAGCCTCTTTCCAAGTATAACCTACAATTCTAAGTGAGAGCACTGTGTCTGCTCTGCTTGAGTCATGTGCCCACTTCTGAAATAATTTCTGTATCGTAGGCTATGAGATATTTGGAGTGGCCTATCTTGGGAAAGAAGCTTTCTCTCCCTGTGGTCCCATTAGGAGAAACACATATATTTAATACAAATATTAACAATTAACTGCATATAACTATATATAGATGTAGTATATCATGTAGGGAGTTTTATGGTACATAAAATCACAGTATGAAAATATCTACATATTCTTTGATTTTTTAAAAGATAGATGTTGAATTTTTTTCTCATATTTTGAATTTTGACAATTGCCTTTCAGAAATCATAAAGACGGGGGCGCCTGGGTGGCTTAGTCGGTTAAGCGTCCGACTTTCGCTTAGGTCATGATCTCGCGGTTCGTGGGTTCGGGCCCCGCGTCGGGCTCTGTGCTGACTGCCAGCTCAGAGCCTGGAGCCTGTTTCAGTCTGTGACTCCCTCTCTCTCTGACCCTCCCCTGCTCAAGCTGTCTCTCTCTCTCTCCTAGAAATAAATAAAAAAAAAACATTAAAAAAAATTAAAAAAAAAACAGAAATCATAAAGACGTTCATATTACTTTTCTATGATTTATTAAAGTACTAAGTTAGATTTCAAAATGGTAAATTATATCAGATTCTCTAATATTGAAACTTTCATCACTAAGTATGAATCCCATCTGGAATCGTGTGTTATTGCTTTAAAGTACTAACAGAATCCTCTGGCTAATATTTTCTTGTATTACACTGATAATTATCACTGAGATTTTCCTATAATTTTCTTGTCCATGCATTTTCTTTGTCAGGTTTTGGTATTATTTGTTAACTCTGATTTTCAAAAAAAGGAAGAGTTTCTCCTTACTCCATGCTCTGGCACAATTTAAACGAAATGGGAGCCATCTGTGCCTTAGAGTGTTGCTAGAACTATTTCCCTCTCATTCTCTCACTGTCTTTTCTTGCACCGTTCTCTATTGCTTCCATGATAATTTGCTTAGAAGCTCTATGTGGTCTATAGTTTCTTTTGGTAATTCACATTTTCCGAGAAAATCATTAATGACATACAGATTCTCACAGTGATTGGAGTATATCTGAGTAGAGTGCTCTGTAATTTTTCAAGTATCTTTGAGTCAGATTATTTCTGCATCCTCCTTCTTACTTCTACGTAATTCCTATTCCTTTTATTGATTAGATCGGACCAGGGTTGGTCAACCTTGGCACCACTGATGTTTTGGGCCAAACAGACCTCTGTTGTAGGGCCTGCCCTGGTGTTGTAGGGGAGGCCCAGGCAAGCATATGGTCCTCCTCCTCCTCCCCCATCTTTACTCCTTCCTGTCCTGACACTGGGGTCTGTTTTGCAACGTCCCCACCTCAATCTGCCAGGTACCCTTAGCACCAGCTGTTACCCTGTTGTGACGGTCAAAACTATCTCCAGATGTTGTCAAATGTCCCCTAGGGAAGGGGGTGGGCAAAATCACCCACACTGAGAACTGCCAGTTTAGACCAAGGTTTTTCTAAATTTTTAAAATTTCATTTTGTGGGGCTCCTGGTTGGCTCAGTTGGCTAAGAACCCAACCTCAGCTCTGGTCATGATCTCACAGTTTGTGAGTTCGAGCCCCACGTCGGGCTCTGTGCTAACAGTTCAGAGCCGGGAGTCTGCTTTGGATTCTGGGTCTCTGTCTCTCCCCTCCCCTGCGTGTGCTCTGTTTTTTTCTGTATCAAAAATAAATAAACATTAAAAAAATTTTTTTAAATTTCCTTTTGTATTTAAAGAAACAACCATTGGATGCCTTAAACTTATGAAGAGGGAAAAATAATCATTCCGGGTGATGCCTGAATCCTCATTGCTAACATGGGACTAATTTTTGAGTGGGTAAAAGGTTGCCTCTAGGGGGACCCACCTGCTTTGCAGGGTGCCTTGGAGTTATGATGTGCTTGTCAGTCTTTAACACTGAAAGAGTAGACGGGTATGAGGGTAATAAACGAGGTGGAGAAGGGAAAACAACAGTAACAACAACAACGAACCCGTGGATTCATTCGTTTAGTTCTATCCGTCTTCGGTCTCCTGATGTATTAATTTCTGCTCTTATCTTTATTATTCTTGTTGGACTTTCTTTGGATCTATTTTGTTTGTTTTTCTAAATACCTGGGTGGGCCACTTCATTTATTACCATTCTTGCCTGTTCCACTCCGTGGAGTCAAGTGGGAAGCACGGGGGTGTCTGTATCCCCAGCCCAGCCCAGCCGCGCACATAGACCTTTTAGTTCCCCACTAGTGGTCATTGGCTTGTTCCATGGAAGTTTCATTGCTGTGCAGAATCTGTGTTTTTCTAGCTCTTCCCGAAGCTCCCAGCTCTCTCCATGATTTGGATTACTAGTGTTTTCTATTTTCCTTGCAGACTGAGTTGCCATTATTAATTTGTTTTCCTTTGTGCGTTTGATTCATTTCAGAGTGGGAAAAAGGGCAGAGTCACCTTTGATCCATGGTTTAATCCCAAATCCAATTTAGTAATTATGTAGCATTTGATTTGGGCAAACTATATTGTGGGCTGCTAATTTCAACAACTACGCGAAATTCGGAGGAACGGCTACTTACCATGTCACCTGCTTAGACCAGACTCAGAACCATGAAACAAATCTTTATTTTGACAAACTAAATTGCCCTACCCCTCTACCATTAGAAATGGCCACAGGCAAATCCCAGTTTGATGCATTAATGATTTAAAATAATGCCTTTCTGTCCACAGAGGCATTTCATGACTGATGAGTCCTATATTCCCGGTGGCTCAATGTTTCTCATGATTGGATGTGAAAGTGCCCCCAGCAAAATGTGGATGTCAAGGAGCACTACCTGGATGGAAAACCATGAGAAATGAGAGCTCTCTGCTTCTCTGTGGAAGCAGACACGTTACGGACAAGGCCCGCCAACCTCACACACTTACAAGTTGTTTGTACACTTTTGTAAATAAAATCATACTCTCTATGCCCTTCAACTACAATATCACGTTCAGAATGTAAGCTTGCAATGATATGTACACTGTCAGTCTCAAAATTCTCTCCCGTTAGGCTGAAAGGACTTGAAATTAATGAAATTTAAACTCTGAAAATGACCCACCACTCAGAGGCAGTAGCGACCATTTTATTAAAAACAGTTTGTCATTGTTAGGGGAAATGTCACATTTTAGCTTGCGGTGGTAATACAGGGACAGGGTAAAGAGATCTAGCTGTTCTCCAAGAGCTTACTCTTCCCACTTAGTATTATTGTGTTTTGTGCAGTGGAAAAATGTGATTTTTTAAAACATACTTATAATTACTATGTACAATCAGACCAAATGAATTACAAGGTGCTCTAAAAGTTTTAAAAATACCAAATATTTGCTGCCAAGACTGTGACTCTCTTTTTAAAGGGAACACGCATTGCCTTTTTACAGCCCTGAGCATTCCATTAATGTCAGTGAAATGATACCTTTATTATATGAGTCATAATTCTTGGTACCATTTAACAGTAGAAAACTATTAATAACTTTAGGTTAATAGCATAGGTCTCTTCCTACCTTCAAAAAAAGTGATTGTGGAATTCAAAGTCACTGACTATTTTATGATGTGGTGACAGTCCAGTAATGTCACGAGCTCTGCTTTTCTTCCTTAGAAACTATGATTTGAGTGTGGGTGTTGTCAGAGTTCCGTTACTCCATAAAATAACATTTTTCTTTCAGAAATGGAAGTATTTGTCTTGATAAAAGTCACAGCTTGTATGGATGAAGTCAGGAACAATGGTCGACTAATACTCTCCGTGTACTTAACCTGTAACCCATCAAAGGGATCCAATCACTTGTATAGGGGGTGGAGTTCCTTGTTACTTGCTGGGGCAAAACTCATTCACCCTAAATGTTTACAGTACCCCTCCCTCCCTTATTTGCCCCAGAAAATCCGTTATTAGCCAGGTCACTATCTCCCCTGTGTCCTCTCTACCTTCTAATCATGAAGGAGGAGAACACCTTGTTGGCTGGGAAGGAGATTAGTTGTCGCCACACAAGGAAAAAATTCTGGCAAGGGGGAAACAATGATGCTTGAGTTGGTGTGAAGAAGAGAGTAAGGGTTTGGTGCATGAGTTTCCTCAACAGAATTAGGAAGCAGAAGGGACTGAGGTGGGTTATGACCTTTAACTCTTTTGAGTGCTTTGAGGTGAACCTGCCGAGAAAAAACTTCCCTGTTCATTACCATTGGTTGTTGGATTGTGATTCTTTATATTTATTTCTTTATTTTTTAAACATTTAATTATTTATTTATTTTGATAGAGAGAGGAGAGAGCACAAATGGTGGTGAGGGGGTGCGGTACAGGGAGAGAGGGAGATAGAGTCCCAAGCAGGTTCCCCACTGTCAGAGCAGAGACCGACATAAACCCTCATAAACCCTGAGATCATCACCTGAGCTGAAATCAAGACTTGGAAGCTTAACTGACTGAAGCACCCAGGTGCCCCTGGACTGTGCTTCTTTACATGTGACGTCATAAAGTAGACCCTAAGCAATGTGAAACCCCTCCTCATCATTTATTCAGGGTATCTCCCTAGCTATCTGGAATGTAAATTTTAAGCTGATAGTGATTAAGAAACCACTATTAACTTTGAAACAATAACTTTTAAAATAAACATTTAAAAAGCAACATTCTTAGCATGCATTGCTTTGTCCTGGACTTCTATTCGTCATGCTGTTATGGTATATGATTGTCATGTAATATGATAGGGACTCTTACTGTATTAATACTTGTATAACGTGTGAGTCATATAAGCCTCTGTTTTAAGTTTATGTATTTATTTTGAGAGAGAGTGCATGCATGTGCACATACAATCAAAGGAGGGGCAGAGATAGAGGGAGAGAGAATCCCAAGCAGACTCCTTGCTGTCAGCCCAGAGCCCGATGTGCAACCCAGTCTAACAACCCATGAAATCATGACCTCAGCCGAAATCAAGTCAGACCCTTAACCTACTAAACCACCCAAACCTCAGTGTTTTAGTAGTATTTTTTTGATAACTTTTTTTCTAGTTTTAAAATTGGTATATTTTAGGGGAAAGTATAGAAGATTGTAAAGAAAGAAATGTTATTCATTATCTGACCTATTAGATTGTAGCTAAAATCTTGGCTTTCAAAACAAGATGTATCTAAGGTTCTATATCTTGGTTTTTTTCTCTAATAATATTGCTGTGTCGGGGAAATATAGTTTTCATTCTATGAGCGAAGTTGAACTTTTTTCTAAGAGAAGCTAGTGAGAATGGATATTTGGGGACAGCTAGCATTCTCTGTCACAGGCTCCTAGTAGTAAAATATTGGGTCAAAACTCCTTTGCCTTCCAGAAGATCCTGGTATGGGCCCAGTGTGCTCCTCAGAAATGTTCTAGTTTATTCTCTCCAGTAGTGCACTGGAATTCCTGCTTCATTTGGCTCTTGGCAACATTTATCATTGACACAGGTGTTTGACAGTTTGATAGGTGAAAAAACTAAATCATTACCATATTTTCACTTTTATGATTAGTAGGACTAAATTTTCGTTCATGTGTTCATTGGCTATGCGTATTTCTTCCATGTGAGGTGTCTTTTTACATCTTTAGTCCCTATTTGATGTTTACATTCAGCCACTTGGGGTATTATTCTGCTTGAAGTTAGGAGTTCCAGCATGGAAAGAAAGGGTAACTTTGCTTTTGTTCTTTGGTGAAACAACCTTAACACAAACAACAGATTTCCTTAGGCTTACAGAAAACCCTACTGAAAAACGACAAAATGGTAAAGTGTTATTTGGCTCCCTTATAACTTAGGCAATCCAAGCTCATCTTGGCTTTATCTGGATGCAACAGGCACACCAAAAAAACTAGAAAATACCCTCCCCATGATTAAGCTTGGGTCCTCTAAATTCTCAGAAAAGTAGTGAAGCAATGTCGACTCATCTCTTTCCAATAGAGCTATGTTTGGAGTCATGCCGATAGCTTATTATGTGGTGTGGCCAGTGAGACCAGTGCCTGAGGGAAGTGTCTCCATCTTGCCATGGAGGCGTGTCTGGAGCTCCTACCAGGAGCCCAGGTTGGGAAGGACAAATGCAAATGAGACTTGAAAAATAGAAACTCCTCCTCCACTGCCTTCCTTTATAAGTGTCACTATTCACCAGAATGTCCCTCTGCCCATTTTCATTCAAACGTTCCAAGTGGAATGGCGGTAAAAATCTTAACGTGCTTTCAACATTTGCATTTTGGCCTCCTGGTCAAGCATGTATTAAGCCATGTCATTTTGCTCTAATTGTTGTCAGAAGAAAGTGTGATTGCATTTTAATTATAGAGACCTACGCACATACAGCCTCCACTATCTCCACAGCAGGCAAGCCCTGCCAACTTCTAAAGCATCATGGTGGAGAAAATGGGGCTTGCTAACAATACATGCGTCTCGTTTGGTGGTTCTCAGGCAGGATTCCTTACAGTATGGTTGAGAATAAATACCCCAAGCTGTTTGCTGCAGCGGTGGGTAAGAGTAGAATGATCCAAGCAAAAACTAACCTTTCTGGTGAGTATACGTTTGCTATAGAAAGATGTTTCTGTAAGTGGGTGAACTACTTCCTGTCAGTTGATTGCTCATGGGGTCATCTAATTTGAGCTGTGTCTTCCCCAACCCCACTGTTGGCTACATCTCTGAGAGAGACACCCAGGCTACACACAGTTGATAATTGTTTTATCCATTTCTAAAGGCAGCTGAGTGGGTTGGCTTTAATTGGTGATCTCAATTGCGATGAAGAGTGAAATAAATTGTCATCTAGAATTTCTGAAGAATTAAAAGAAAAGCACTTATTTTTGATGGGTATAACTTTCAGATTTCTGAGTCGCCTTTTAATTTTTCTCTTTTCAATAACCTCCAGCAATTAACTATTTAATGGTAAATTATATCTAATTACTGTCTTGGG